GAGTTGCAACCAGAGTCACGGAACGGATTAAGTTCGTATCCCGAGGTACCACTGTACTTGTCCATATCTGAACTGCCTTGAATCACACAATGACTCTCCTGTTGTAGTGATGAGAGTAATTAAGCAATCAAGCTGAGAGGCTTCCAGCCTGGATTCAGCAGTCTATCACAGATTGCTTGATACTTCACAGTTTAGTTCCTCAGCTGAATTTCGCAGAAATTCACTTCACTTCACTTCACTTCACTTCACTTCAACTATTCAGAAATGATGCCATACCCAACCATCACATTGCTAGTGCAAAGATGTCTGTTATATTCTTGGGGATTTCAGTTTGAGGATTCTTCCACCCACCCTTCTGAAGTTAAGAGTATTTCATGAAGCCTTGGTGGCCTTGAAACTGTGTGGTTCTTGTCTGGGAAAGGTTAGTTTCTGCCCTGACTACCTTTACAAACAGCATCCTTGTTACCAAAAATAATCATAGTACCAACCACAAAATCCCTGTGAGGTCCCCATGATTGACCCAAGGTCTTGTTTTCGTCTTGCCAACGGTCTCACTGTTGCATTGTGCAAGTATGAATAATAACATGCTACCTCAGTCCCTGCACAGTTTCCATTCCATTTTTGGAGCTAAATCCCCTATTTTAATGACACTGAGGACGCTTGCTGGAGTCCCAGCTCAAGTTATAGGAGAACTTTGCTCCAAGGAAAGATCTTCATCCTTCCAAAGCTCTCCAGGGACTTATCCCTTGAGCTGGGCTCTTGGGGGTAACTACACCTAGGGAGGTTATCAAGGAAATATTGAGTGCTCAGACCTGCACAGCAACCATTCAGTAGTGGGGAATTTCTAAGGCTTGCAAGGAATTGTTATAACAGCAGCAATACATCTTCAGTTCCATATTTTATGAGGAAAACCATTATAAATCTATTCTTTTCAGTTGCGTTCAGCCTATGAGGATATTGTAAAGGCCTTCAGAGCATATGATGTTGGCCGGAGTGGATTTGTTTCCTTGGAATATTTAAAATCAGTTCTTAGCACATTTATATTTCCAATACGGCAAGATGTCTTCCAAGAATTAATGAATAGGTAAGTGATATGCTATTTTTCTTTCAAACCAAGCCAACCCCGTATGATTTTATTACTCTTCTGAAAGTTATATTCATAGTACAGCATATTCAGCTTAGGGACATAATTCATATGTTTTGCTGTGTATGACCAGTTTATGGTACTATGGTGATATTTGGGTTTCCCTGCAGCATGATAATTTACAATATATAAACATTCCTCATCTCGCTCCAAGGTAGAGTCAGGTTTACTTTTAATGCTAGAAGTTCCATATGATTTTGATAAACCACTTTGTATTGAACTGGTAGATGTTACTGAAGGAAACAGAAAGTCACATAAAGGGAAATGATCACTGTGTTTATTATCTGAAGCCAATCAATTGAGCTTACTTCTAAGGAGACACATATAAAATAGGACAGCACATGCTTTGGAAAGGATTTGGAAGAGGTGCTTTAGAGTTTTCTACTATTAAGTAAAAGCTTTCAGGCTTTTGTGTGGACCTGAAAAAAGATACTGCAAGGAGGCACAGTGATGTTTAAAGTAGCCACAACTTTTTCAGAATCCTGAAAAACACATCCATGCTTTAATGGATAGCAGGGAGATGCTATGCCCATGGGAAAGTCAAAGAATTTCTTCAAACTCTTTTCAAAGCATGCACCACTCTAATTTTCTCAAAAGAAATACTTTGAAAATTCAAATGTGGGAAGTATTAAACATTTTACAGAAAGCTAACTTGAAATATTTGTTTCTATATTTTGCGGGCTTTGGGGACTGTATAGTATTTTGGGTCTTTTAAAAGTAATTCATGTTATTCATTTTTACCCTTCTGTAAAAAAGAACTTTGGCGGACTTATTTACATGAAGGCTGTGAAATGAATTTTAAATCTCTGTGATCCCATAAGAATGGCTATATTCAGCAATACAAGAAAATAACTAAAAAATAAAGAATTTGGGGCTTTATTTGAGAAGAATTGGGGTACAGTTTTCTTCCAGTCTCCAACCTTCCGTTCTTAGGGAAGGTTATTGAGAGGGTGGTCTGGCTGCAGCTTCAGAGAGCCCTGGATTAAGCAGAACATCTGGACTCTTTTCAGTTGGATTTCAGGCCTGGACAAAGTACAGAGAAAGCATTGGTCATGCTTTTTGATGACCTTTGGCAGAGCTGGGATAGGAGTATCCATCTGAATTAGTTAGGGGATTTGGGGCTGGGAGGCATCATGTGGCAGTAGTTTTCTGCCTTTCTCTATGGTTGGTTCCACCTGGTGTTGAATATATGTGTGTGTGGTAGGGGGGAGGTGGGACCCTAAACCCCTAGTTTCTTGATGGTCACCTCCCTCCTGTTTAACATCTATAGCAGGCCCCGGGATGAGGTCCTACATCAGCTGAGATCTAGTATGAACTAATACACTAATGATATCCAGCTGTGTATCTCAACCATTGGTCAACCAAGTGATGCGGTGAAAGTCTTGTCCCATCACCTGGAGGGTCTAGACAGGAAGAACAGGCTCAAGCTCAACCATGACAAGGCTGAGTGGCACATGGACCTCCTGCTCCTGGGAATTTTCCATTGGTTAGTTCCCCCAGATGGAAATGGTGCACAATGTGAGGGCTTCCTGGACTCACAGCTTCCTGCTTGATGAGCAAGCAGTAGCTATGCCCAAGAAGTCCTTTACACAAATCCATTTTGTGCACCAATTGCACTCATTCCTGGATTGTGGGGCCCTATTCATAGTCATTCATGCCTTTGTCACCCCTTGTCTGGATTACTGCAATGCACTCTACCTAGGGCTGCTCTGGAAGACTGTTTGGAAGCTTCAGCTGGTCCAAAATGCAGCAGCACAAGCAGATATGGGCACCCCACAGTGTACTGATGTAACACCTCTGCTACATGAGTGCACTGATTATCAGTAGGCCTCTGAGTGCAATTCAAGGGGCTGGTTGCCATTTATGAAGCTCTACATGGCAGGGGGCCTTGTTAATTGGGGGACCTTCTTTCTCTCATGGTATCTGCTTGTCCTGTAAGATCTAAAAGAGTCGGCATGCTCTGGGTTTCATCTCTCAAGCCATGCCATCTGATAGGACCTGGGATGCGGGTCTTCTCTGTCGTGGCACCAGCCCCCTGGCACAGCAGCCGCCACACCTCTGAGATCCAGACAGCCATAACCCTGCTTTAAGACGAGCCTTAAAGCCCCAGCTCTTGGGCCAAGGCATGGTGTGAGCTTATCGTGCGCTGGTTTCCTTGTCTGAGTGTTTGCTGTTCCTCTGTTCAGCCATCTTTTCTCCTTGTAATGCTTTTGATTGTGGCTTGACTGTTTATATTTTTAATCTACATGCCGCCCAGAGTCACCTTGCGTGGGCAGATTCCAAGTGTGATAAAGGAAGGAAGAAAGAACATGAAATAAAGAATAGTTTCAGCAAAGGAAAGATGTATGCTACCAACAGCAGAGCACGTGTTACTCTTTAGCTCGTTAAAGCTGAAAAGCCTCACGGCTAACATAGTGTGCATTGAGAAAGGGTCAGAATCTGCTCTCGCCTCACTACGCCAGGTCTTTACCAAATACATCATAAATGACTTCAAGTAATTTGCAGCCATCTGTAGGAATCATCAATTACTCCGCTACTGAAAATACTGTGGCGATATTTCTATCATTTCATTGTTTAAAAAGCTAAGTGTAAGCACATCACTGCTTCTAGTTTTCCAGAGGGGACATTTCTCCTAGGCCTTTATGTATTCAGTGATACCCCACCTTTCTACTCCAGCGAGAGGAAGTGCAGCGCCATTCTGAGGATGCTATAAACAGGGAAGTCCAAGCCTTCAGCGGCCACATCTATTCAGGTGACACTGCCCAGACAGGCTAATGTTAAAGCCACAGTGTTGTGGGTTCAGTGACAAAGATGGGGTGCAGAAATGAAACATACAAGTGACTTTTCCTAGATTAAAGATTAATTAGGTTGGAAAGATTTAAAGCAAGTTTTGCCCTCTGTTCTGGGAGTGTTCAAGATGTTGGGACCAGCTTTAAAATATTTTTTTCCATTTTGCATGAGATGGTAAGAAAGTATTTGTAATATTTATTGCATTAATAAAATATTCATGTGTCAACATTTTATTGCTGCTTCGGTTTGGATGTTTTATGTTGGAAACTCTTGGATTGCCCACGATCCATTCAGCATACGTTCCATTGCAGAAGGGCTTGAAATTATGCGTACATTTCTAAGAATAGCATTGATTATTATGTAAAGTTGTCAGTTATTATTGTTCTTAATTCCACTGCTGACAACTGTTGAACCCTGAGCTGTAAGATTAAATCCATAAAACAGTAAAACTGTTCTTGGCTATGTGGCTCACCTAGCTAAAATTGCTAATCTCTTGGTTAGAATTATATCTGGGCATCTGTCCTCTTCACCAGATACTAATAGTTCATGGTCTACAGTGTTCTGTACTCGGTGGGAGATATGTAGAGAAGAAAAATATTGTATAATTTTCTTGGTGGACCAGACTAATTGTTCCAAAGTTTTCTCTTCTGAGCTCAGAGAAATGGTCTCATATATACCATTGATTACTCCCAGATTACTGGAGAACTATTTCATTTCCTTGAAGGAAGTACTCCTTTATCCATGCTTAAAAATAATATTTTGGAGCTAGGTGACCATGGCTGGGGGAAGATGTTTGAGCAAGGAGTAATCACACAATTCAGACAGGATTAAGAGTAATAGATTCTCTAAATTCTTTTCAGTCCAAAATTCTGATTTTAATTTGGCACACAACTTGTTTTGGTCCTTGTTGAAAATCTGAAGAAGGCAGTCCTGACCGTGGTATTTTTCTGTATTGTTGATTTGATTTCTGTCTGACAGGCAAGGTCCTGTCAACTCCTAACTGTACTTTGATGCCATGGTGTTCCACGGGGTTGTTTCTAATCCTCTCCTTTAACATCCCCATGAGACTGCAAGTTGAGGCTCTTCAGAGTTTCGCCTATTTAAGAAGACTTTTGCTGCCTTCCAGCATATTTCTCAGCTCAAGTCAAAGCCCTTCCCACCTTTAAATCCCAGAAAGGCTTAGAACCAGGAAAGACTGTGGACTCCCTTATGGACTCACCCCAAGCTTGAGATGGTCATCAGAGGCCCCATAACCTGATATAGTAGCCTCCTTTTGTAGAGGGTCATTTTCTAAAAGGTAAGAGGAGGAGGAATGTTTCTGTCATTCAAAAGGAACATTGTTTTCTGTTCATAGGTAAATGTAACAATTTTAACGGTTTCGATAGATTTCTTTAACAGTGGTATTGATTTTATATAGTTTTACTGATTTGCCAGTTTTTTACTTTTTCCGAAGAATGCGCCTCCCAAACTTATGACTGTATTACTATGTTCTGTTCAACATTGCCATTTTGCAATTTTCTCTAACATTCTCTTTAGCCATTCGGTAATTGTAAGTTTGGGCAGGAACTGCCATATTGTCTCTTTCTCAACCTCTCTGTGTGGATGAAATGTTGAAAGTAGAGAACTTTATAGGCCTGGGAACTCAGAATATGGTTTCGGCTGTTCTTCAGACCTTCTCTCACCCCTGCCTACCTTTACTGAAAGCCCAAAGAGAATTCTAATTAAAATCTGTCCATATGCAAAATCCAGTTTGGATAAATCACCTATAACTTCATAAGGAAACCACATTACTAAAGAAATATAAACATATTGTTTTGTTGTTCAGATTTGGAATAAAAATATCCAAAAATATGGCTTGGGAGAAGTTTTTAGGTAAATTTCAAGATCCCTTGCTGTTTGACAGCAGCCAAACATCTTCTAAAAGAAAACATCACAGGTAGGAGAGCAATTCCGTTTACAGATTCCATTTATTCCCTTGATTCCTGTAAAGATCATCTGTGCCAGTTTTCACCCTCACATGTACAGAGAAGAGCAACAAAGATGGTGGGAGGCTTGGAGGCCAAATCCCATGAAAAGCAGTTGAAGGAACCAGATTCTGTTTAGCCTAAAGAAGAGATGTCAAAGGGAGATGTGATATCAGTATTCCACTACATCAGTGTTGTCCAAACTTGGCCACTTTAAGATGAGTTGACTTCAACTCCCAGAATTCCATGCTAAATCTAGCAGGTTTGGGCCACACAATTTTCAGGTGAATGGTATTCCACTGAAGGGGGGAAGTG